CCCCTCCATTCTCGTGATATGGTTTGACTCACGCTGCCTTCTGATAATCGTATTGGATTGCTAAATCTTATTCTGATTGGTCCTCTGTCTCAGTCATGCGTCGTACTGTCCCATGTGCACATGTGTACTCTGACGTTTCACTTATAGCTTGTTCGCTTGACGGAGAGGTGAACTCCCTCGCTTGCTTTTGGTTCTCGATTCACATTGGAAGAATTCGTCGTATAAAGAGTAAATGAAGCGTGAACTGAAAAGCCGGGAAGCATTGTACGGATGTTTTGACCCAGTCGGGTATCATCAGCATTGCGAATCCATCGACCCAACCTGGGGATCGAACCCGGGACCTCAAAGGTAGAAAGCAAGAATGCTACCCACTCGGCCGCCGGCAGCTGATCAGACCATATATCATTTTCCATTTACACGATATAGCAAAACCCATCTTTACGAGCTTGTTGTGGGCATCGCGCCTTGCTCATCTCAACACTAGCCTCATAGATTTTGTCTCGGTTGGAAACTTTCACAACCCGACTACTTGTTACATGAGTGTTATGGTAAAGTTAATTCATTCCGCCCTTTCAGGCATATCCCCTGGGAACTCCACGATTTAAGATGTGTTGTTTAGACAATTATAATGCTTCATATTTACAGTGTCGCATTATTGTTCGCTATTGTTTGGAGTCGACTAAACCTTGAGAACATTCGGACTCGGCTTCTGAGGTTGCGCGTCACTCAACGTTGGCCTAGATATTTATACGGATATAACAAATAGTGTTATCCCAATGTGTATCACTACTAAGTTCACCGTACCTATTTTGGTCGCATATCCTGATTACATCTCGCATGTAACCGATATCATTCATTAACAAGAAAACCATGTTGAACAAATGCCACTTATAATTACTAATTTATTTGACAAGTATGCACTACCTCTCGGAAACATTTTTATTCATTCAACAGAGGTCAAAGAGAAATTCAACGTCCGAATATTCGATGAGGATTCACGAAGCCGGGCCTATGCTTTTGTGGGCACGTCTAAAACACTGACTTGCTATGTGGATGGTAAGCGACGCAGATTCGCAAAACCTTTTCTATATATTAGAGGATTTTGCCGGTTCATCGAGGAAACTCGATGTTATCGAATGCCTGTTCGGTTTTATTTCAAAAGCCACAGCCCATGAACCCTGAAAGATGTTTTATCAAAATTTCCAAAACAGAATTAAAATTACCGTTATTTTCAACCGGTATTAGTTCACTTCATATAAGAGTGATCGCAATGCACGGGACTCCAATTGATTTACGATTTTATAGCAAATCCGAATGGGTTTATGCTGGAGTAATAAAACCTTCTCTATTGAAACAGAAGGTGACTAAATTTCGAACAGCCCGTTAATCAGTCGATTTCAGTCTGATAAACGCATATTTCTTTCAATACAGTGTTTGCAAAATGAGATCTTCTGGTTTTCAATGAAAACTGTGTATGAACTAAGCTTGAACCAATTTTGAGTGGGACTCTGACTTGTAGAACTGGGTCCTATACCAGGAACATGTTGCAAAGCAACAAACGTTGAATTTTAATTCTCTTGTAAAAGTTTCGCGCACTTCATCAGCTACGAACGTTGATAATTGCATCTCTGTACGGTTAGAGAGTACAATTCATGTATGAAGAGTTCATCTGAAGCGTGAACATGACCTGAAGATGTTTTGTGGTTTTCATTTTTCCGATTTAACCAAACGGGTTTTAATAAAACCTTTTGAAAAAAGTAGTACACAGAAATCTAGTTACACTTGAATTATTTTCAAAGATGTTGCATGAAAATATTTTTCCCTTAGAAAAGAAAGTCGTCAATCGGTACATCATCTACATTGATTTTTTTAAACTAAGATTAAACCCTACTAGTTTACGCTAATTCGATTATTTGAAGTTGATTAGGACGGAAAGTGACATGCCAGAACGTGTGAGGTATGTTATAGACTCATGAAACGTGTGTCTGTTATACACGTTCCTTCAGACATGTTGACTTTCAAAATGACGTCCATTTTCCTGATTAGGTTTTCACTTATGACGGTAGATAGTTTTGCTATCCCACGCCTTTATCGCACAGTCGGTGCATTCGTCCTTCATGCACGTCGTTCCAAGTAGTGTAGTACCAATTATAATATATAAATTTTAACGTGAACGTTTCAGTCGAATATGCATACAGGACCGTTTTATATTTGTTTGTAAAACATTGCATTCCACTTTCGATTTGCCTACCTCAACCAATACGCGGCGTTTTCAATCCGTAGACGTGGATTCAGGCGACCGAATCGAACCAGAGAGTTATCAGTGGGAAGCAAGTGTTGTTGACGGCAACGGTGTATGGATCCGCACATCAGGCCCGAAACAACCAGCCCAATTGATTGAAGGCTGGACGAGCAATCAACTGGTTCTGGAAAGTCTTAAGTTACCCGAGACTAGTGCGGCAACCGAAGCGACGTACGAGTTCCGTTGTATTGCAGCATACAACACAACATTTGACACCACATCCAGATCTTTTGTGCTGAATGTGCGACGTGAGTGATTTTATTCACATGAGTAGTAATTTATATTGGGAGAGAGATGACAGAACCCTTCCGGTTAACCAAGCAGAATGTAATCTTATATTTTTTCCATTTTACTTCAATTGGGTTTCGATGAGATGAAACACACTCGTGACAATGATATTCAGGCAACCCACAACCAAGTGGTCATGTGTTATCATGAAATAGTATTTGTCTTAAATAAAAAGTTTACTGACATTAGATCTATTAACTGTACACATCACGATACACACAAGCCTATGAAGGTCACCAGCTAGGCGAAAGTCATCCAAAGACAGATAGAAATGATAATTTAGTTAGTGTAGGTGGGAATAGTTGAGTGTATGCCCGAGTTTGTGTGACACTAATCTTAATTTCTTGATAACCACTATGCACTCTAGTAGTCGGTTTATAAAAATCTGATAATCGATCTTGAAAAAAATATTTCCTCCAGCAACTTGTGTTCACTTGAGAATTATATGATTGTTGACTTGTTTGAAGAATCTCTATGCCAATGTTTTTTATTGGGTTCTTCTTGGAATAGCGGAAACCACAAATAAAGATGTTCGGTTTTATAATGTTCACTGCGCTGTTGATAGAAGAATACAACGTGAGAAACAAACGTCACTAACGCTGCAGTTGATTCTATTTATCACCGATAACATGCCAGCATTTAAAAATATCTGAGAACAGCTCTCTTCTTATCTCTGTGAGAATGCCATTTCCATTACAACGCAGAAAAACCCAAGATTGAATTTATTCGTCTTGATCGGGAGAAACCTACCGAGGCTGTTCTGAACACAATTGACGTGCCGGAAGATTCATACAACGCAACGGAAGATTACCAACTCGGCTGTAAACCCGAGGTCACCGGAAGTGAAGCTGTTGCTGTTTGGCAAAAGGCGAGTTTTTGTGACGACGAACTGAAGAACTAAAGTTTCACTGAAGGGAAAATATGCATAAAGATCTATAAATCCCGTTCAGCATCACTACATTCAGATATGTTTCATTACAACTAAAGGTTGTTGTATTCTAATACTTACAGAGCAATGTAAAACAATGCAAAGTGCAGCTTTGTACTTAGCCTATTGTTAAGGTCTTAGAAAGTTATCCTGGCAACTACCACGAACTAACTGACAAACGCATCTCGTTGACTTGGTAACCCGCTTCATTCTGTCAGAAATAACTGGACGTTTATCATCATTACAGGCGCCTACCATATCTATTTTTCTTTTCGAATGAATAAAGATGACTATTACCGTTCCCAAAGATTACCATAATAAAAAGGATTCATTTTTCCTCTGGTCAGCTGATCAGCTGCACCAAAAGAAAATACTTTTATTTAAAATCAAGGTATGCAATCCGAATTTCCACGAAACTATTTGGCATGCAATTTTTCACTTAGTCAAATGTTGAGATTTCATCAAAGCAAATGGAAATGAAACTGCCAAATAGATAATCCATCAATGCTCCTTGAACGTTGGTTAATCTATTCGGTTTTTGTTTTAAACCAAACGTGGAATTTGTACGCTTTACAGGGAACGATTTTTGACAAATGCTCCAAAAAAATGATCTTCTATGGCGGAGAAGTTAATATTGTATTTTCCTACATAGTTGAGGAGGTTTGTTATGGGCTAGAAGCAAACGACTGTTATTTCATTTCTTTACTGCTATGCACTGATGACCAATGTCTGGCGTAAAGAACTTCGCATTGGGATTTATTACGAAACTGTTTCTCCCTTTCTGAATTACAGTTTAAGACTTGGACTGTTGGTTGTTTGTACATCTTCTACTAACATAGAAAAATCACTGAAGGACTGTCAATCAGTGGACAGTTGAATTCATTTTGACTTGGTTTATGAAAAGGGCTTTTGCACACATCAAAACTAGGGAACCAGCAAACCTGGTGCTTGTGACAAAAGGCACATGGAGCAAACGTTTTGGAGTTTCATGTGTAACTTTGTTTTACCTACCTGTGGGATCACTGTATGTTGTGTCAACCAAGTACACCATGCAGAATTGAACACAATCCCTTGATCATCGAAGATGTTACTTCGATCAGTGTTGAAAGGTGCGCAGCTAAGACTGACCAATGGAAAGACAAGTAAACAATGTAGTAGACGACTCCAAGCTACAGCCCTATTCACCATCAACCACATATCCATGAACTGTGGCGACTTGATTAATTTTACTCATCCGGAGTGGTGAGCACGGTGAACACCGCGGAACGTAATATAGCCTTTGTTGTCTCAGTGAAATACAATTTCATTTTTGATAGTGCATTCTATTCCATAGTCACAGAAACATTTCCAGTAAGTCTATAGAATAAGGCGTTTTCAAATATGTTGACGTGATTAAATAAAAGTCACCGTTATCCAACTGTTCGACTATGTGCGCACGTTTTAGATGAGCCAACAAAAGTCAGCATTCTCATCAGTTTGAGGAAACCATGAGACAATAAAGAACGGAAAAGGGATTCTGTATGTTCAGCGACACGGGTTGCCTTTATAGACATTTCTATCCGTGCATCCCGCAGCAGAGCCATTTATCGTTTACTCCTCCGCGGCTGTGCAACACACTCTGCTCCGCATATTGTATTCACACTGGACGCTTTGTGGACGCTTTCGCACACACACACACGCCTCCGTTCACGTACAAGTAACGGAGACTAAGCGCAATCTGGTTTTGCATGACTGACCATAAATAGCATCCATTCTCACCGATCATTAACACCCACAGGGATGCGAGAAATTCGTTTATGGCCGGATGAGCATTAAAAATTCACAGGGGGAATTACGGTCGAAACTGGTTAATAATCTATGGGCTCGTGGGCACCGTATGAACTATTATTTTCGGTATGATTGTTTTGCTTCCATAGTGAGCAGAAAAATACATACACACACATGCTCAGACCCCCCAGGGGAATGAGAGTTTTCCTGGAAAAAAATAAGGACGGTTTACTAACAAATCAGTGCTTATGAGTTACGACTGAATAAAAGTGAGCTTGACTAATAGAGAGAATTAGTTTTGATGCTCATATAATTGTACAAAATCTCATCAGCATTGTTGTTATAAACAACCAGTTCGATAATTTGGTGGAACAGCCAAAAGTGAAATGGGGAGTGCACGGGGAGACAGTATAGAACCGCATTGCAACGGATGGAAACCATTGCAATGTTCAGGTTTTTAACTTCAATAGTACTTGGAAAACCCACCAAAAACTCAAATAGTTACGCTATTTTCTGCTTCTTGACAACAAATGTCGTGTTACAATACTAAATAATTATCACTGTTATTATTTTTGCACCAGTGTGAAGACGATGCATGTACCGTGGCCAAGGATCTCATTCCAAAAGGCGACAAACTATTTCTGTTTGCAAACTCCACAAGATACACGGACGAGGGTCTCTTCCGATGCCAAGTTAGTCTGCAACTGAAAGAATACAATTTCAAACTGACCGAATCAAAACTGGTCAAAATAAAACGAACCTGTGAGTTACCTATGATTATTGAATAATTGTTTCTTACAATCCGCCAATGAAGTTAAATCAAATCAGGCACAGTCATTATTCATTGTTGTCAATCGCCAAGATCGTATACGAGCAAGATAAAGTGGTAGGGATAAAAAATAAGGGAAGATTTGATCATCGGTTTGTAGATACGCTCGGAAGGCACACTGAACTAACTTCAACGTATTAAACAAGGATGGAGGAGCGATTAATTGCGTTCCAGTTGAATTTGAAATGTACCTACAGCTATAAAAAACTGATCACAGTGAAGTAGAAGAATAATACCGTTGTACAGCATTATATATAATGCATCAAAATACAATGAAATAAACAGGTTACATAAAATAAAGCCTGCGTTAACCAGCGGTACTGATAAAATGGTTTTGAAATTCAAGGGTTTTATGAAAACAAAGTGATTGTACTTTTTAATTTGTCCAACTGTTGATTTTCTACAAACTACCTTCATACGCATGAAGAACGTAAAGTTGGGTGAACAACTGTTTTCCTAATTTCTAAATGTGCCAGTAAGCTTCATGAAAGCTTAAC